TTTATTTTTGTTTCTCTCTGTACTCCCCCTCAACTGGAGCACTCGGTATGCTTTGTCATCGTTAGGCATCGGGGAGATGAACATTGAAAATTCTCCCTAAAATATTGCATCCTTTGAGAGATTCCTTGCTTTGTCGGTGTAAAGCGCCAGAAGGAGAAAACTGAAACTCCCCTTCAGAATGTGCAAGGGTTGATTGCTCACATCTTATCATACCCATCATGTGTGTGGAGCAATCTGAACAAGTACCACACATGACGGTTTCCCTAAGGTCATCATTTAGAATTTCAGCATATTGATGATCACACAATGTTGATGAGTTAGGGGAGGTTTCAGCAGTTAATTGTGGATTGTTGTAAAATGACCGTTGACGCGAGGTGGATTGAATTATCTACGATTTTCGGACCTCTATAGTGTAGTTTAGAAAAACTTTGACCTTAGGTTTGATTTTGGAAGAATTTGAACAGATTTGCCTAAGTGTTGACCTTGACATCGGTGATTGACAATGTTTGTCGGAAAACGGATGATATCTTGGTCATGAAGAGCGCGTGTGGGCGTGTGGCTTAAGGCTCTATGGAGCCTTCCATAAAAATGTAGATCTTTTTGTTAGCTTTCCAACAACATAAAATTCGATTAAATCGGATCACCAAGTCAAAAGTTACGGCCAAAATAGTGCGATGTCGCTGAAAATCTCGAAATTTTGAGTTTTTGAGGAATTTCTTCGAAATGGAGGTTCCTGGTGTTGAATATCGAGAGCAGGTGGAAATAAAACAAATTCTAAGGCAAAACCTCGAAATCCTAATCTCGAGGTTTAAACTTCGAGATTACAATCTCGAGGTTTAGATCTCGAGATTACAATCTCGAGGTTTAGATCTCGAGATTACAATCTCGAGGTTAAACTTCGAGATTACAATCTCGAGGTTTAAACTTCGAGATTACAATCTCGAGGTTTAAACTTTGAGATCTTAATCTCGAGTTTGCCTCGAAGAATAATGACGAAATCCACTTGCAAAACAAAACCTCCAGACTTCGAAATCTTCAGAATTTCAAAATGTTTGGAACATCGAAAACTTTGAAGTTTTTTGAAAACCTCAAAATATAGTGAACTTGTTGTTTGAAAAACATCTGACGGGTGCAATAATTTTTGGAATATAGTGAACATCCAAATATTTATTTTTTGAAATAATATTAAAATGAAAAGAAACATTAATTTTTAGAGTTTGTAATGTTTGACGGGTGCATTGGTAGGCACTACACTTTGACGTTGTATAGTTATCAACGTACAGAATGCAACGTATGTAGTTGCTGACTTATGAGGTGTAATATGGAATACTAAATGTTAATTAGTCATATTTTTGGAAAATATAAAAAAAGGTCACTTTTTGGAAACTACCTATTTTTTAGTAAAATTGGTGTCAAACCCCCTTTTTTGAATTATATAGTCGAGTTTGAGCTTAATTTTGCCTCTAATTTATCGTGTGTTAAAATCGAACATCGAAATTCTATCGAACCAAAATTAAGCTCAATTTTATACTAAGTGAATATTCATTTCACTTTCCTTGACAATATGTTCATTATCTATTTTAAAAAACATTTTCAATGTTCATATGAATTAAAAATGATCGTTTGTACCTAGAAGTAATAAGTATTCACAATTTCAAAATTCGATTGAAAATTTCAATTATTTATTACATGTTCACACAATAAATAAATCATTCTCTAATCTTCAACTGTATAATAAATGAATCATTCTCTAAATCTGTAATCTTTAATTCTATCTTGAAAATTTCTGATCTGTCTTCCTTCTTCTTCGCACTTCCGCCAGTTCTCAGCCTCGCAGGTAAGTTGAATAGGTGGGATGGGCTGTGGGATGGGCTGGGAGCTAATTTTGGAGTGGCTAATAATAAAACTTAGACCTATACTAATTAAAAAATAAAAATTGGGCTGGGCTGAAGCCCACCCTTGCCCTAAGTACCATCCGCCTCTGTACGGCTATATATAAATTTTGAAAACTAAAAGTTAAGGGATCGGGGTCGAACACATATATATCTAATTAAAGTATGAAAAATTTTATGAAAATGTTACATATATATTGGAAAATTTTAAAAGTCCAAGGAGGGCAGTCCATCTGAGAGTTCGATCGACTTTCGACATGTCATCTTTCGTCACCTTCGACAATGAGTTGCAGAGCGCAAATTTAATTACAAAAACGGTGCACTGACCAGTGCTCATTAACAACAGGATTTATGGTATAATTTGCACATTGAGACATGGTTGTCTTTTTTATTTTCTGTAACTTGTGAGTTTGATTAATTGACTAATTAATGTGTCATACAAGAGCCTAATGTCGTGACAATAACTATGTCATCATTATCGTATAAGCATGCATGTGGAGTAATCCTACCTTGATTCCTTGTCATTAATTATTGATACGTACTATTGAAGTTTCAAAGAGAAAGATATACTCGTACACTTTTGACAAGTAATCCGGGTGTTCGTCATGAATCGATTAATAAAATGACAAATTACTACCCTTTTAACCTTTTATGTTAGGGCTATAGTGTCATGTGTGAATCTGGTTCTTAAACTGCTTCTATTCTTTTAAAAAAACAGAAGTAGATATATATAGGAGTTCTATACATTTTCTCCTGCGGCTTTTGCTGTTTATTTATGTTCAAGAATTGAACTTACGTAGTATAATTAAACATAGTGTATGATGGGGTTATGAGATTAGCTAATCGGCCCAAGCTCCGAACATGGATCTGTGGGTCTAAGTCCTTGACCTGAGCCTGTGAGCCAGCATGTCCAAATTCAGTAGGGAGTCTACTTTCCAGTCCGGTCATGAGCCTACCGTCCAGTCCAGCACGAGTGAGCTCAAGCATCCAGCCTGCCAGCAGGGATGACCTGTCAGACAGGAAGAGTAACTGTCAGACATTAATGCGTTATTTAATTATGTACTACCTCCGTCCCCCTAATATTGGGATAGAGGGAAGTGGTGTGATTTTAATGAAAAATAGAATTATGTGGTTGATAATGAGTTGATAAAGTGGGAATAAAGTAAGAATGAATTAGAACTACACAAATCTTATCAAATATAGTATGAGACAATAATAGATGAATATCAAAAAATGAAAAAATGGAACAATTATAGGGGGACGGAAGGAGTATTTATTTAACTATTAATGTTGTAATTAAAGTAGTCACTATTGTGTTTAGCAATTTCCGTTTGTAATCGCCTATAAGGCTATAAAAGGCAATATAAGTCTTGTGTTTTACAACTTTCCATATTCATACTACTTTTTACTAGTATTTTCCTACTACAGGTTCTTTCGTAGCTTTCCCATTAGGTTTTTTCCTAATGAAGGTTTTTAATGATGTACCTCTCCGACATGGACAAGGGAGGAGATCTTCCGGTCCTGGAGAAGGGCATCTAACTTGGACTACCTCCTCTTACCCGAGTCTACTACTCGACTAAGGGAGTGTGGGACTAGGCCCGGAAGCCTAATTGACCCATGCTCCGAACTTGGACCCGTGAGTCTAAGTCCACGAGCTGAGTCAGCTCAAGCCTAGCGGGAAGCCTGTCTTCCAGCCCAACCAGGTCCTGGAGAAGGGCATCTAACTTGGACTTCCAGCCCAACCAAGAGCCTGCTTCAAGCTTAGCGGGGAGCCTGCCGTCCAGTCCAGTAGGAGGGAGCTCAAGCATCCGGCCTGCCAGTCAGGCCGATCTGCCAGACAGGAAGAGTGACGTTCAGACATTAATGCGCTATTTAATTATGTATTAATGTTGTGATTAAATTAGTGATTATTACGTTTGGTAGTTACCGTTTGTAATCGCCTACAAAAGGCAAGTTTGCCTCAAATAATTGATATGATATTTCTGACAACTAAACCTCATTTGCAACTTTCCATATTCGTACTTTCTATTTTCCTACGAGCATCCATTTTTGAACTAACGGTGTACATATATAACTCTTTATTTATGTTTAGGAACTTCTAAATTCAAATAAAAATATATTTAATGCAAGAAAAATTGAGCATTAACGTCCTTGAGAGCATCAAAACTCATTCTACTTAAATAAATAGATTTTTTAATGACATGTAGATTTTTTAAAATAATCTCACACCTTCTAAATTACATTATGCATCATCTCAAAATAATCAAATCTTTTCTAGGTCATGCACTCACTAACTAATATCAATTTCACAATAATTTTGAAATAATCTGAATTCATATTTCAATTCCGGATTATTTTGTAAAGTAATCTTATCAAATAATCTTCATCGTCCAATTATTATTTAAAAAATAATCCGCCACATCACCAACTTAGAGCCCGTTTGGTAACACGAAAATTGGCTGATTCGACTGATTCTGCTGAAATTTATGAAGTTCTGGTTGAAGTGACTGCATTGGCTGATTCTGCTAAAATTTATGAAGTTCTGATTGAAGTGACTGTATTGACTGTTTCGTTTTTGCTCCCTTTTATTTTGAGTTTTGGAGTCCTCTTTCATTTGAGAAGTTCCTGGATTAGCATAAGTATATTATTACCTCCATCTCGTATGATCGTATTGTTTTACTTTGATACAATTGTTAATAAAGTAGTTGAAAAGTAAAAGTTACTATTGATATTTGAATATAGTAAAGTGAAATAATGTGGACTACATATTTCTTTCTAAAAAGGATAATAAAACATTCATTTTGGGACAACCAAAAAAGGAAAGTGAGACAATCAAGATGGGACGGATGAAATGGATGAAATGATGATTGAAGTGGTAGAATTAGTTAAATCTATTGAATTACGAAAAAGTTATATTTAAACACATTTTATTAATAGATTAAAGAAAAAATTATATGAAAAATAGGTAAAATAAGCATCTACGGTAACTTCAATCATTCAAATCACAAAAGCAATTTCAACCTTATTCAGTCTGATTATTACAAAAGTAAACGTGTGAAATCAAAAGTTATATTACGTATATTTGTTTAAAAGTTAGCTAATGAGGATGATAAACTGAAAGTAAGAATTACCAAATGGGATATTGGCCGCCTGTAATGTATAAATTCACTAATATAACTATTATTGCATGTATCAAAACAAAGAACAAACAGTGACTGAAATCGAAGAACAAACTGTGCGACACTTTTTGAACAACACGCATAAGCCTGTATTTCACCTTTCACAACTCGCATAGTGTGGTATGAACATCATATGGAGTCAAGTGGAAAAACTTGAGTTGCTTTTCAACATTTGTTTCTTGTTAACCCGAACGGAAGAATTTCAAGAACTATCTCAAGTCAAAGTAAGAGGAGATGAACGTTACGTTGAACAACTTATCCTCCATCAAGTTAGAAGATAATATGAACAAATATGTGCATAGCCTTAGCTTGTTCACATAGCTAAGAAGGCCAATATTATGCAGTGCACTCAACACTCAAGGGACAATAACACAAGTTTTTGTTATAAGATTGTTATTACTTTAGTACACGTTGTTGTGATCCAATACTCAGAACTTCTATTACTCGTCCGGTCGTACTTAGAAGTACTAGCACCCCACGCACAATCCCGCATTGGGAAAGGGAACACCATACTGAGCTCATAGACCAGAAAACAAGGCTGGTTATGCCCAAAGGAACTAAAGTATGGAGTATTAAACAGATGCTTTATGTACACACTAATAAAGGCTGGTACAAGACGTACAGATTCGAGTGTCGTCATATTACGCAACAATCTTAAAAGTAATCCTCGGTCCTTCCTTTGAAGCCAATCTGCCCAAAAGTGAGACAGAGGAACAACCCCAAATGCCACGAAATCATCCATAACCTGTCCACCCAGACCAATGAAAGAATACTGTGTAAATAAAAACATTTGAATCATGGAGCTAAAGGAAAAGGAGATGAATGTTAAGTTGAACAACTTATCCTCCATCAAGTTAGAAGATAATATGAACAAATATGTGCATAGCCTTAGCTTGTTCACATAGCTATGAAAGAATACTGTGTAAATAACCTGTCCACCCAAATGCCGTTCATTATGATTACATGCCAACTCTTAATTACTTGCATTCTATTATTTACTGTATTTCTTCCGTTTCTTACAGAGCTACATCATGAAGGGCTGCAATAATAAAATTAGGAACATTATATACTTAGCGGTGTCTCTTTCCTTGTCATATTCCTTTTCATATATTCAGTTTCCTGTGTATATTACTATTAACACCTACTAATATGATTTCTACTGTGACAAAAATGCACAATAACAAAGTCCAATGCTGGTAGGCCTTCTTCTAGTAAACTATGAAGTCTTAAGAATATGACAAATCACATAAGCAATGGTAATTGTACTTAACCAGAAATCAGAGGTAAGGGCTGGTCCAGTGGGCCAATGAGACAGCTCAGTGCCAATACTCTCAAGGAAGAGCCCAGTCAAGCTCTTGCCATTGATTGCTGGAATGCTGGATGGTGCAACCCATCCTATCAGCCCAAACCCAATCACATTCAGGTCAGTCCTCAACCAGTCTCTCTCAAAGCTTCACCAAAAAAAAACAGATAAGTTTTGCTTGCCACAACATAAGCGAGATTTACATAAATCAATGTTTCTGATCTATTGCAATAAAGCTTAAGATGTGATAAGAGGCGGATAATCACCATGTAAATTTCCCATACGAGGCTTTTGGTAGCCTAAAAGGGTTCCTAGGTGCTACTGAGGGTCTCAGAAAATCTGTAACAAAGAGATGCATCATACTTAGGAAAAACAGATCATACTGAGTGAGGGCTTGAGGCTCTAAGTATCTGTAAAAAAAACTCCAACTTTTTCATTTATAGATTCATGATAGATCTATTAATTATGTTATATAGTTAAAGGCTAATGTTATTTCTGAACATGAAAGGTGCATGTTCTAGCACGGTAACAGAATGAATGATCATTATTCAAGGGTGAGCAACAAGAATTCTGGAGATATCATTTACCTGAGGTGAGAGAGATTTTGTTTGGAGAAGAAGCCCTTGAAGAGGTGGATGAAAGGGAGGAGGTGGTCAAGCCAAAAACAGTAGATGCTGCTGTGCACATTGTTGCTGCCATTTAGCTCTCTTCTTCCAAGTGATTTGTGCCCTTGAAGAGTGGGTGGCTGAAGAATGATAATGTAGCAGAGGGTACAATATGAGCCAAAATTGTGTGGTAGAGAAAAGGAATTCTGTGATACAGAATCTTGAAAGAGTAAGTAGCTGAGCAATGCCATCTTGCCACGTGGATTTCTTTTTGGATAGGATGGTTTTTAATTGGGATAAATGGATTCTTTGGTTGCCCAAGAAATCATTAGGCTCAAGGGGAAAATAGAGTTGGTCCATTTTAGTGAAGGTGAGCTTTTAAATTTTGAATGGTAAAAATCCTAAAAATAATATAGAGGCCGTTTGGCAACCCTCATTTTCGGCTTATCAGGCTTATCAGCCAACTTTTTTACCAAACACGTAAACTTTGTTTTCACGCGCTGAATTGTGTAATAAGCCGAAAAAGTAAGGTTGAAGTTACTTTTCTGGCTGTATTGGCTGAAGTTACTGTATATGATCATTTTAGCTATTTTTACAAATAATTTTTTCTTTATTTTATTAATAAAATATATTTTAAAAATATTTTTTTCTTGTATCACCAGAATCAGCCAATGCAGCCACTTCAGCCAGAATTTCATAAATTTCAGCAGAATCAGCCAAAACAACCGATTTTCGTGCTACCAAACGGGCTCATAATCACGTGAGAAAACTAAATCCGTTTGATGAAAACTTTGTGGAACAAAAAGCACTACATTTGGAGTAGACCTGGACAAAACCGGGCCGGCCCGCTCAGCCCGCCCGCATAAATGGGCATATATATTTACCCACCGGGCGGCCCGAGCCCGGCCCGCAATAAGATATGGGCGGGCTTGGGTTAGGGTGTAGGCCTGTTCGGGCCGATAAGCCCGGCCCGCTACATCTAGTATATATAAATATACTCCCTCCGTCTCATAATGAACTTCACAGTTTAACCTACACACATATTAAGAAAATAAACTTATCATGGGGTAAATTTTACTGTTTTGACACTGTTTCGACATTGTTTGACACTGTTTTGTACTGTTTGACACTGTTTTGATGTAGATTAACTTGCCATTTAAGGAAATGAGAACTTGTTTCTGGGACATTCAAAAAAGGAAAGTGGGAAGTTCATTGCGGGACGGAGAGAGTATATATTTATAGGGAACGGATCAGGTGAGAAGTGTATTTAGGCTGAGAACTGCGAAGTCTAACTTATAAGCTAAAAATACAAACTTTTAACCAATAAATAATAACTTATAGATCCCCACGGAAATAATTACGAAAATGTCACCGCTTCAAAATAACTCCAGAAACTTTTTTGACGCGGTGGCATTTCCGTAATTAAGATGGAGAGCTTTATAAGTTATGATTTATTGGTTATAAGTTACTATATTCAGTTTATAAGTTTGTTGCGTTATAAGATTATATGCAAATTCAAGGGTTGAGATTACTTCTCACTTCTCATCTTAAGGAGGACTTCTCACCTGATCTTTTCTCTATATTTATATACTCCCTCCGTCCTGCAATGAACTTCCCACTTTCCTTTTTTGGATGTCCCAGAAACAAGTTCTCATTTCCTTAAATGGCAAGTTAATCTACATCGAAACAGTGTCAAACAGTGCAAAATAGTGCCAAACAGTGTCGAAACAGTGCAAAACAGTGCCAAACAGTGTCGATACAGTGTCAAAACAGTAACATTTACCCCATGGTAAGTTTATTTCCTTAATAAGTGTGTAAGTCAAACTGTGAAGTTCATTGTGGGACGAAGGGAGTATATAATAATTTATTTATTTATTTGCATATACACATGTATATTTATACTCCTATTTACTAATTTTTCTTTATACATATTTATAGTTTGTTATGTTTAAATTTAAATTTTTAGTTCTCAACCACTAGCTCAACCAATATAATACGGAGTATCCGTTTTTGTTCTTAAAGATAATACTTTGTGCTTAAATTTTAAATTTTAGATATAGTTTCTCAATATTATTTTTGTGCAAGTATTTTTTTGTATGTGGTGAAAGACGTATAAAGATTATAAGCGTATTAATTATTTTTTAAATGTTGTAATATTATTTTTAAAGTATTTAAAAAATCATATAATTTTGAAAAAATTAAAGTTTTCCCGGGTCGGGCGGCCCGGTGGACTACCCAGCCTGCTCTTATGGGCGGGTATGGACATAGGGTTAGGCCCATTTTTGTGGGTCGGGCCAGGCCCGCCCACACATGATGGGCAGAAAATTAATAAAAAACCCGGCCCGAGCCTGGGTTGAACCCGTTTTTGTATAGGTCTAATTTGGAGACTGCCCATTTTTATTAGCTCATTTGCCTCCATACTTGAAAAGTGAAATGGCTAAAAATGGGTGCGAGGTGTTTTTTGAGTCCAATTTTTTTCATCCCTTCAAGAAGGGTGAACATCACCTTCTTTCCTCATTTATTGCCACGTGGCTTTCCATTCCCTTTTTTCTTTAAATTATTTTAATTTTTTATTTATTGTTCAAATTTTATAAAAAGATATATCAGATTTAATAACTTTTTAAGATCTTTCCGATGGTATTAATATTGTATATAAAAAAGTTTGACAAAAAAATCATTTTTTATAAATATTCATTTCAAAATGGAATTTTTTTTAATTTTTTATATGCAATATTGGTACCATATGAAAGATCTTAAAAAAATAAAAATTTTGATATCTTTTAAAAAAAAACTGGATTAAAAATGAAAAAATTAAAACAATTGTCAAATAATTAAGATCTTTTGAGAGGGTGAACAAATTTGATTTCGTGTTTTTTGGCATACATGCCGGTCAGCCGATCTAGAATAGTTCCCCTTTTTGTTTTTTCAAAGAAGACCAAAAAGATTCAAAGCAGGGGTGGACGAAGGGGGGATCAGGGTGATCAGTCGACCACGTTGAAAGTTTGAGAGTATAGAGCTCTGAAATATATTCGATTTGATATATTATGATCCTCGTAACTCATTACGAGTAAAAAGTTATGACTTCTGGAAAATCAGCACGATCTAAACATAAAATCAGAAAAACTTGATGTATATTATAGATTATTTTCCCAAATTTTAAAATAGTTATAATTCACTCAATATTTACGTGACACAACTCTAAAACAGAGCATAGAAAATCTATCTTATTGCTATGAGTGCCTATTTATCTCAACTGCATATGATATATTCAACCCGAACATTGTTTAAAAACGATCCACCATTTTTATTTTGTAGACAGGTTGAGTTTTGACCCCTGAGCCGTTTTTCTGGCTCCGTCACTGATTCCACCCTTGCCACCCAAGTCTAACCCTAGACCGAGGGAGTAATGGAGTATATATACTACCCTCGAGTTTTATATCACAAAATATAAAGCTACTAAAAAATACTACTGAGTTATATATACATTGTTCTGTCTCAGCCACAGAAAATATCATGTTATCTACGGCTACACGAGGTATCTATCGATTGAAGTGATACACATTAAACAAAAAACTCAATCCTCTAGTTGCAAACAAAAACAGTGAACATTAATTTCGGCAACAGAGTGATTCTTCAAATTCGTCTTTCAATGAAGAACATTCAGCAGCGCCTGATGAACCTTGTCAATAAACACATTGTCCTGCAACATTCAATTAGAGTATTGATCAGCTTCCATTCATGTCTAACAGATATCTCCCAAACAATTAAAAAGTTTTGTTCAATAATACCCCCTCCCCCCGAATTGAGTTGCTGTTTTACTAATCAGCAGTCAACACTATTCCTTTTTATCATTTGATTTTGGGTATCAATTACTTATCCTATTTGAATTCAGTTATTGCATTTTAATTGAACTTTTCTTATAGTTTCTATAAAAATATACATTTTAATAATTAACACTAATTTAATCGTAGTTTTAGTAAGGATGAATTGGCTTTATATATTCTACATTACAAGCGGAAGGGTACCTAGATTTCTCTAGGGTTTTGGTCGTTTTTTCCGGCGGTGGCTATTGCCGCTTTGTCCGGCAGTTTGGGTCTCAACAGAGTACAGAATCGACGCTCTTCCCTTGAGCACGCTAGCAGCAAAGGGACATCACAACAGTTATACGGATTAGAGGAGAGCTATATTTGAAGGTTCCAAAGTTGTAAGGGTTGCGCAGGTTTTTGTTCGTAGCTTTAATTTCTTCGGTGATTTGGAATCTAGCAGGGCTTGGCTGCGTCTCATCTCAAAGGCCAGCCAGGATCATTTTCGCAGGATGGCATCCATGGTGGGTGGCAATTCATTCCAAGGGCAAAAGGATTTAGTTTTGTTGGATCAAGCCTATGAGATCAGGATGAAGATGGAAGAGAATGGAGTGCAATTGGTGAAGTGCTATTGGTTAGCTTTGAAGGACGAAGGTTTCATAGTGGTCCTGATGGTCCGGCCTCTTCCTGAACCACCGCCATGGAATGCACGAGTTGGAACTTTGGCTGTTTGTGGAAGGCCTCAGTTAGAAGGGATAAAAAATAATGGAGCTTGGCCAGCAGTGACAGGCTCATTTAATTTGCATTTTAATATTGTTATTTTCCAATTTGTTTTTTATTTTGGACTCTTAGTTGTTTGGGAGTGCTATCCTTATGAGGTGGGTAGGTATTTTATGCTAAGAAGTAAGATGGCCTCAAGAGCCGAGATAATCTTAAAATCTCTCAGATGGTTAGCGACTCGATCCGTTCTAGCTAGGGTGGTCGTTTCTATGTCTAATCAGAGGGTGAGGGGGACCTTCGGGTTATGGAAGTTTGGTAGCAGGAGGCTGTTCAGTATTGAAAAGTTTGTAATATCGTTGGTTCTTGGTTTCTAATACAATCAGTCAGTTTTCTTTCAAAAAAATGGCTTTATATGGGACTCCTATGGGACACACAGAGGGAGGGGTATTAGAAACATGACTCTTGAATTTTGACTACAAACCATTACTCAATTTGGTCAAACAACTTCATTTTTAACTCACTTTGGTCCTTGATTATGCAATTAGACACATTAAGTCTATGCATTCTGTGCTCCAACTAAAAGGGGTGTTTTGTGTGCTGACTGCTGAGGACTAAAGTGAATCCACAATACATCGTCGAGTGTAGAATTGAGTTAAAAATGGGATCAATATTTAGGGAACTGACAAAAAACCTTCCAATTAAGAACCAACTGTGTATGAGGACTAAAATGGATTCAAATTTCACAGTAGAAGAACCGAATTCAGGCCAATAAGAAAATGATGACAAAATTGAGAGTATAACTCTCAATTGATAGACCGCATAGGTCGCCGAACAAAA